TGCAGAGAAAACGCACATCCACATGTCTCCATACCTATCTCCATGTATACTTATACTTACATATATACATATACACACACGGACATCTGCATATCCATATATATTCATACGCACATATATATATATTTACACATCCATACGTATACACATATACACATACATACACACACCCATATATGCATACATACATACATACACACACATATGCATATGCATACGCAATATGCAGAATATCTACATACGCACATATGCGTTAATTTGCACTTACATATATCTACCCACGTATTTGTCTCTATCCTCATGTCCACCCGTGCATCCACTTATGCCTGCGTTCGAAGACTATATCAGTATTTAATTACATTATCTATATCTTTACACATATAATATTACCCGATCTTTCATATTTATGGCAAAACATATAAGTACCTATCTAATTGTACATCTCCACACTCACAAAAAAAAAAAAAAAAAAAAAAACTGGTATGCTTCTTTTTCCGTATAAAAACATATACATGTACATATCAACAGGCGTCTCAGTGTGCAAATACATTATCATAGTTGTATACATACAGTCATGTGTTAGCGTTCACGTGTGCATAGTAATATTTCTAAAAACAAAGGGAATATAAAACATTCAAAATTGCTGTTCCTATATGATTATTTCTTAGTGTACTTGCTTAGGTTTAGGTTGTTTTTGTGCCGGCATTTAAAAACTAGTTCATTGTGTCTATTTAGTAGTATGTCTGGATCTTTATGTTTGATTATGAAGATTTTCTCCTTCAAACATAAGTTGCATCTGTCTCTGAAGTTTTGGGGAGTTCTGGCTCTTGATATTATTCTCCACTTTATTTGTGGTGTTAGGCCACTCTCAAAAAAAACCAATAATGATTTGATAGTGCTGTTTGTTTTTTTTACATTTATTTTTGAAGGATTGGCGATGGTTGTATAGTCGGTGTTTCCAATCTCCCCGCTGATATTCCAATGTATATCTTTTTCTCTTCAACCTTTTCTTTGGGGAAAATTGTTGCTTGATATATTGTGTTCTCTGCCATGCATATTCCTTCAACTGGGCACTCTGATCCTGTCCTGCAGTTGCATGTTCCATTTTTCCATACCCCTTTAACCACCTTTTTTTATCTAGAGACGAGACGCGTTAAATTTGAGCAACATCCAGCCGACACACTGGGGTTAAAATAGGAAACTAAAATGATACATATGACACACTCATATCCTCTCCCACCTCACTTCCTCACTTCGTTAACTTTGCGTATACTTGATGAGGTCCGTAAAAACGTGTGAATTTTTCTCATTTTTCATTTCAGCTTTTGGAAGTAAAGTCTGATGATCCAGAACCCTGTTAAAGGGTTATGGTGAAATAGCTTATTACATGGAATCTTAACGTGGTCTGTCTTTTATTCAAAAATATATATATATATATATATATATATATATATATATATATATATATATATATGCGTATATTTTGGCGGCATGTTTTCATTGAGACATGTTACATTGAATAATTTAGTTTTGTCTACTTATTTTCAATATTTCTAAATATCCTAAAATAATATGTCCACCACAGATCCTAGTAAAAAAAAGAAAAGAAAATTAATTATATACTATACTAAATCTAGTATATCTAATACAATCATTCGTAATGACTCTTCCCCACCTACTAACGTTTTGTAGAAAACCAACATTGTGTATAAAATTAAATGTCCTCTGGGTGATTGTATATCTAACTGTAAAAATTTGGACACACTACAATAATTTTGTCTAAGCGGCCGAGTTTTCATTTGAATGATATGTCCAACATTTACAGCAACATACCTGTCCACATTCGCAATTCAGAAAAATTTCACGGAAACAACATAACTCGAAGCTATCTATATTAAAAAACTAAAACCAAACCTTAATAAAATTAATTACGAATACTCCGCAAATGTTTTAAAACGTGTACAATAGATAGTTTAAAATGTCAAGGTTTGCATTTATAGTTTTTACTACTTATTTCGTAAAAACCATCCACTACCAAAGTTAGTTACTTCTTCTGAAGCGGTGTCAAGCGATCACGCATTGAGTCATTCCACGAGTAAAAAACTAACTTTCATATGAATACAACAATTTTGTCTTCGATATTAATGAACACTACAATATTTGTCTTGCAATAAACACCCTGATGATATCATTGTGCTGTGTCGAAAGTACTCGGAATAAATAAATAATATGTATCAATACGGCGATTTTCTCTCGTCCTTCAATAACGATACCAAAAAGATCTTCCGTTGATATGAAAGGATTCAATCGAAAATAAGTAGACATAACTTGATGAAACATCTCTCTCTCTCTCTCTATATATATATATATATATATATATATATATATATATATATATATGTATGTATATGCGTGTGTGTGCGCATGGGTAAGGATCGTACTTGTTGACTTACTTCTTTTTCACTAACTTTTCTTTGTGTGAAAATTTTAATTTCTTTTGCTAGAAGGTTGAGAAATGACCCATAATGTAAAATCTAGTTTGCTTTTTGTTTGTTTCTTTTCCTTTGTTTAATGAAATCCTTGATGACTCTTCCGCTAACTTTTAGTGGATCTATCCTGTAAAACTTGATAACTATCACTCTCATAGTGGTCGGAAAGTAGAGCATTGCTAGATCAACTAATAAAACCCAAAGGAAGATAACCCCAATTCAAAATGGAACCAGCGTGAATGGGAAAATATTACCGCGAATAATGTTAGGCAAGCTCTAACGAAATTCCATGAATAGAAATCCCTAGGAAATGGCACGATGCCCAATCTCTGGCTCTATCATCTGTCATCAATCCATAAAACCCTTGCACAAACTCTATCAATGCTTATTAATGATCCCAATGAAGTCCGAGAATGGATTATTGGAGGTATTATACATCTCATGCGAAAGGCAAGTGAAACATGATCCGAAAGATTATAGGCGAATAACATGTCTGTTCATTAAGCATAAATTGATTACGTCTGTCCTGACGAACCGTACTTACTCCTTTCTCGAAACAAACAACACTCTTCAACTAGAACAGAAAGAATGCAGGAGGTGTTCGTATTCTTGCGAAGATCAACTAATAATAAACAAAATGATCCTGGAAAATTGAAGGAAAAGATGTAGAAATCTTAACACAGCATGCGTAGATTACCGTAAAACTTTTGATAGTGTTCTACACTCTTAGATTCTTAAGTCTCTGGAGATGTACATCTATCTTCCTCGTGATAGTAAATTGTAGATGTTTGTATTTTCTCAAATCTCGTGGTCGCCGTGATTTTGCGTTAATTTGTCAACATAAACAAATGGTTTCGAAACGAGATTCTTTTTTACGTACGCATGTCCATGAGGAACGTTAAACCTCTTATACATGAACTAAACAATAATAGTTATGAATACAAAGTAAACAAAAAGTATTCAATCACTTACTCTACATGGATGCTCTCAAACCTTTTACCAAAGATGACAATGATTTGAAAGGACTCCTCAATACTGTAAAATGTTTCAGTAGCGAAATAGATATGGATGTCGGATTAGATAAATGTGCAAAAGTAACATTCAAGAAAGGAAGAATAACAGAAATTTACTCAATAGATTTGATTTTGGCACAAACATTAAGGAACTGGAACAAGAAGAAGCCTATAGGTACCCAGGAATTAACGAAGAAGTTGGAATACAGTATACCAAAATGAAAGAGAAGGTAAGAAAGGAGTACTGCAGTCGTGTGCGTCTAGTACTGAATACCGAGCTGAATTAAAGAAACAAAATATCAGCCATAAACATCTTGACTGTCCCCGTGGTGCAATACAGATTCAACATCCTAAACTGGACCATAGCGGACATTAAGCGAATGGACGCCAAAACGAGAAAGCTTCTCACTTGCCACCATATGCATCATCCCAAGTCTGATGTTGATCGTCTGTATGTGCCTAGATCTGAAGGAAACAGAGGATTAGTTCAACTAAAACTGTCTTGCAAAGCTACAACAATTAACCTTCAAAAGATACCTGGAAACTACAGAAGACCGAATGATGACCTATGTCAAAGAACATGAAAGAAGTAAGAAACATTATTCAGAAATAAAGGAAGCCGACAAGTTCAAAATGGATTTTCAAATGTGTGAAGAAATGCAAGTAAAGCATGATACACCGACTCTTGTTGAAATGCTAAGCAAACTTCTGAATCTTAATCTCCAACAAGAGCTCCCGGGTGTTACCTGGCTGATAACCTATATCTTAATACTAACAGTCCTAATCTTAATAGTACTCGTTTATTACAAGATTAGTTTACTTGTAACATCAAAAGATGACGGGTGTAATTTTGCGGTTGCATTGGCCATTTTCTGCATAAAATATGTAGAACTTTTATCGATTCAGTTATCTTTCCCCCTCTCTCTCTCTCTCTCTCTTTTATATATATATATATATATATATATATTACCAAAAAGTTAACACGAAATATAAAAATAAATTTGAACTTAGTGCGCATCACTGGAAATACCTCCGGTTGGTCCGCGTGTCACTTCTGTTCACCTGGTTCAAAAAGTTCATTATCTTCAAGTTACTCTTAACGGTAGATAGGTCCACGGGCATGACGTGCATTTTCATTTCTTGCATTAGTGTGCAGCTATGATAATAGCCTCCAATGCACATGAATGACAATTGAGAAACACTGGTGCATGTTACATAAACTTACGTTAGGTCACATGGCGCATCATATATATATATATATATATATATATATGTGTGTGTGTGTGTGTGTGTGTGTGTGTGTGTGTGTGTGTGTGTGTGTGCGTTCGTACCCGTACATGGTGGTATTCCTCACACCAAAGATGGAAGAATTTCAGGCGTCCTGTGTTTCAAGTTAAAGCATTTGTTTGATAAATGTAAGCATATCAATGAGACTAGATTACTTCGAAGAAGGTGGTGAAAAGTAGGTGTCAGAATAAGTCATGTCTTCGTTGACTTATTATTGGAACTCTTGAATAGATAGATAGATAGATAGATAGATAGATAGATAGATAGATAGATAGATAGATAGATAGATATGAAAAGACTATAATATACAGAGAGATTCTTTCCTTTCATTTATTAGTGAATAACTTTTAATAACACCATTTGCTTACTATTACTATATTTGACCCGAGAGTAATGCACATGATTTGCGTGTATGAAAGTTTTAAATAACAGAAACTTGAGTGCAATTCATTCTCTATTTTCATTAATCTGAAAATTGTACATAATATCAGGGAGATTCTTAAAATTCACGCACACTCACTTTTGAAGTAACGAGTGTGTGAGGGAGCGAACGAATCAAATTAAATGAATATTTACAAGAGAAAGGATGAAAAGTGTCGATGGGAGAGGGAGAAGAAAACGGAAAGAGAAACAGGGTGTGAAATAAATAGTGGAGAAAAAGAAAGAGAAACTGGCCAAATATGGAGGAAGAGGATACAAAGAAACGGAAGCAGTAGGAGAAAAAAACTAGGGAAAAGGTGGAGGAGAGAACGGAGAAAAAGAAATAAAATTTAAAGTGGCGAAAGAAAAAAGAGGAAAATACAAAGTTCTTTTAAAAAGAAAGAAAGAGCAAGTGAAGTAAAATCCGAATGGGAAGAAGAAAAGAGGAGAGAATGAAGAGGAAAAGCGGACAAGAAATAAGATTGGAATTAGAAATTCCTGGAAGAGTAAGAAGAGAAAGAGTATAGTGCAAATGAAAGAAGATGAGGAAGAAGAAAGGTTGAGTAGGTGAAAGAGATTATGGAGCATGGGACAGGAAAAAGATGAAGTAATAGTATTAAAGAGGAGGCGAAAGGAGATGTGCAAATGAAAGATCAAGATGCAGAAAAGGAGAGTGCTAAAAAGATATTAAAGAAGTGAAACATGAGGGAAAAAGAAAAAAGGAGAAAGAGGTGGAGAAATAGGAGAATGGGGGAAGAAAGAAACACTGAATAGAAAAATGATGAGTGAAGAGGAAAAGAAAGAGAAAAATGAGAATGTGGACGAAGAAAGGTTCATAGGGAGGAAAAAGGAATAAACAAATAGAAAAAAACGTTGCGGTAGAATAGAACTAGAAAAAGACAAAAGCAGAAGAAAAAAAAATAAATTGGACAAATTGGAAGGAAGAGGAAAAATGCAAGATTGAAAGAAAGGAATTAAAAAGGATTGGAAAGAACGGAAAATAAAGAAAGGAAAATAGAGATTGAAAAATAAGGGAGAAGAATGAAGAGAATTGTAAAGGGAGTCGGAGGAGGAAAAGATGGATGGGAGAAGGGGAGATAGAAAATATTATTTTCAATATTGAAAAACGGGGAAATGGCTGATAATGACGAAAAATAACAGAATGTAAAAAAAAAAAACTGGTTCCCATTAGCAACAGCGGTAACTATGACAACATCAGAGTCAATGGAAATTCACCTCAACAGGCATCAGATAATCATCGTAAGTAAAAGATTTATTTCTATTTCTTTCTTTTTTTTCCGTTTGAATCATTCTATCAAGATTTTCAGGAATTGTTAAGGTCATAGGTTTAAAAGCCCAGCATGGTTCATACAACGTGAGTTCCTTTCACAAGACACCTGCTTTAATTAAAATGCGCAGAAAATTGAATTCAAGTTTATGTTTTTGAAAAAATAGGATTAAGAGATTCATTTAACGAACGTATTTAGCGACATCCGAAATGATCTCTGCAAACTTCAGTTTAAGTTCGCTGATTATTTCAAAATATATTTACATTTTAGAAATTTTAAGAGGTTCACTTTTGATTATAAAAGAAATTTACGCAATAAATATTTCCAATTTGCATCTTGTTTTATCCTCAATGGTTCAACAAACAACTAAGATTATCCATTATAACAAGCATTGAATTTTTTGACTGTATCTTCTCATTAATTACCTTATCTCCTAATCTCTTATTTTAGTCTTTGCCGCTCGTCCATGTTTTAACTGTGTTATACAATAACGGATTACTTTCATATGTAAAAAGAATAACGAATGAATAAATATTTTCTTTTTTATACTCGCTTTTATCTTTCTTTTGCTCTCTGCAAAGAATTTCAATATGTCGCAATTTTTATATTTTTCGTTCATTCTTTCTTGCTATCCACTCAGCAAAATACTGTCTATTTATGTTTTTCATTCATCTTCATCACTTTCCCATCGCATATATTTATTTTTTCTTTCACCTCGTTTCTTATTCCTTTCCTCTTGCTCTCTTACCTTCATAACTGAATACATATATATATATATATATATATATATATATATATATATATACGTGCGTGTGCGTAAACATAATTAACCAAGCTAAAATGTTTTCCTCAGACACATTACTTCATGAAGAATTAAACAAGAGGAACACTTATCAACTATAATTTTCCCAGCCATGTCAGTAACAATCAAATAAATTAGCTTTAAAGAATTTAAAATCTGAACACGTAATCAAACTGATATAAACGAAATTAATACACAATTGATTTCTTCTGTCGTTGCCAGATGTCCCTAATTATAAACAAGATAAAAAGCTGTTAAAATATAATTCTTTGGTGCATATCACATAATAATCATAACAAATACCTTAGATTAATCTTTTAATATAATATATCGAAAATAATTATTAACAACATCAAAACAGCTAATCTAATTATTAATAATAAATCGGGACCACAAAAAATCCCCCTACCCCGTGTAAAAACAATGTTGTATATGAATGCTCATGTCTTTTGAGAGATTGTATCTCTAATATTAATGATTAAGGAAGAACATTAAATTCGTATATTGGTCATACATGCCCAACACTCTCTCGAAGGTTAACTTGTCACTTGTTGAAAGTAGCAATTTGGCAACATATCGATCATCACACTCGAAACATCCAAAGTGCAACCACAATGATAACACAAATATTTGTAGATCATACTAAAATATTATACAGCACTCAATGCAAAGAAAATTCTCAAATCTATTATTATACAAAAACAAATAAAAGTACTGTTTATATTAAATAAAATAGCTTTTCCTGCAGGAAATACTCTTTGGAAATGCATACATAATAATAATAATAATAATAATAATAATAATAATAGTATAAATATTTGATACGTTCTTTTCCGGTACGGCCTAGTTCCGTGTAATTGTCTTAGACATGACGTCATTTTTTATTAATGTGAATCCCAGCGTTCAACGAAAAATGGCTGGATGTAGACAACAAAATCTTGTCTATCAACTGACAAGACTCAGTTCTTGATAAGGACTGAGACGGTCAAAAGTACTTGAACAAAAACAAGTGATCATGAACTTCGGACAGTTGATTCACAGTGTTGGCATAAACGTACAATTTATGTGAAAACTCAAAAAATACAATAAACGGCTAAACAGGCAGAGCTTATCCATTGAGAATTCTTGCTGCCTAATTATACAGATAGATAGATAGATAGATAGATAGATAGATAGATAGATAGATTTCTTTGATATAATGTTAGTTTATTTTAATAGTACAACTGCGATTTTGATTTTTATTAATGAGATTGTAAGATTGTTTATGTTCCTGCTCATAAATAAATGAACAATCTTTTGTAAGCCATTTAGGATTGAGCAAAGTTCTACTTTCATCATTCAGTCAATAATTGTCTGATTTTTGGAGAAAGTTTCACTACATTCTTTCGTTTAATCACATATTATTTTATGGTTAAGTTTTCTTTTTTAAATTTGAGATATGAAAGGAGTGACTCTTAAAGCTTTGATTGTTATTAAAGTTTTAAATGGATAAAGAAAATTAATAAGGTTTTTTTTTATATAAAAGCCAATTTTCTCCATCAAATTATGAAATTGATTTTTAAAAGCATTTTTGCCATTTTAAAATTGAATATAACCAAATGTGCTGAACATTTTCCGTATGTGTGCATGGAAATGAGTGTGTGTGTGTGTGTGTGTATGTGTTTGGGCGAATGATAAGGTGTGGAAAAGAAGCGGAAATGTAAAGTTGAGAGTGTCTCCGAAAAATCAGAGACATAGAAGAACAGATAGTAATTGTCAGTGGGTGATTGTGAATGTAAAAATGCAAGTGTAGCTCAATGGAGAAGGAAGGGAAAATAATATTGACATGAGCATTGATTATATATATATATATATATATATATATATATATATATATATATATATATATATATATATATATATATTATGGATACATACGTGTGTGTTTCTGTGTGTGTGTTTCTGTGTGTGTGTGTTTCTGTGTGTGTGTGTGTGCTGATGATGTAAAATACAAAGACCGGCGATGGCTGGCAGGAACGACACCTATTGTCTGGTAACAACTGCATATGTTATGAAAATAAGCTGGTAACCCGATTTTAAAAACTTCATTTGATGCATTGAACGATGGACGCTTAAAAAGTGAGAATTACAATAACCATGTTGTGGTGATTTTTATGCCCACACAGTTTATAAATATCATGATAATGGCTTTAGAAAGATAAAAAGTACCCAGACACTGGACAATATATATTTAAATATATACCAGAAAACAGTGAAATGGTCCGAAAAAAGGATTATCGTTGGTCTTTGAACAAATATACACATACACATTCTGAAAAACATTGTTTTACAAAAAATAACATCAGCTAAAATGAAATCCAGTATTTAAACAACGAAATCCCAAAACATAATGAGATACTAAAAATACCTTCACCAATGAACACAAGAAAAATTAAATAAAAACACGCTGTACCTTGTCAGTTTTTTTAATCGAAACTTGTATAAAAGAAAGGTTACTGCCCAAATACACAATTATATATATATATATATATATATATATGTATGTATATGTGTGTGCGTGCGCGCGTGTGTGTGTGTGCGTGCGCGCGTGTGTGTGTGTGTGTGTGTGTGTGTGTGAATATTGAAGTCAGCATTCAGAGGCGACAACCTGTTTCATACTAGACGCGATCGTCAGGCCGCTCTATCTCTGATATTGAGCACTTTATCCCATAAATAGCACACCTTAAAACTATATATATATATATATATATATATATATATATATATATATATATATATATCCTTTGTGTAAGTTTTAATTTGTCTTGTGTTCGTATAGGAATTTCTTTTCTTGTCCGAATATTCTATACAGTGTGGCGCAGATAAATACCGAAAAAATTAATGGAAAATATAAACGCCGTTTTTATATAAGTATAAATTTTAATGAACTTTATACACGGGTACATATATAAGGTACAAAACTCATTCGCCACAATCGGAGGTCACCATTTTCTCAATGCAGGTCCAGAAGCTGGAGCAAAGCCTTGGCGACGGCGTCCCTGTCCTTGGTGGACATAGCGTCTCTAATGTCTGCCTTTAGAGTCACCTTGGTGTTGTAGGGCCTGCTATCCATCTCCTTCTCCAAGACTCCTCGCACAAATTAGTCGAGATGATTACAGTCTGACGATGAGAGGGTGTATAAGTTGGGATACGATGAACAAATTGGGGTTTTTGAGCACATAAGACTTATATCTCAAGTTCTCGATAGACTACGCCTGATTGTTCGCCTGATTGTTCGCCTGTTAGTGCCCCACATCCTTGGCGATTTTCCTTATGTTTTGCTGGGGTTCTTGACAACCTCACAAACGAATTCGGGCATACTGGCGCCATCAAATCCCTTCTTATGAGTAGTGCGTTCTGACGTGAAGTTTCCTTGTCTGAGGCCTCATATGCCTTAGCAAGGTCGCAAAACATGGTTTTGGGGTATTTGAACCATCTGTTGATTTTCTTTCCGTTGTAGCCGGTGCGATGGCTCTCCACAACAGCAGCTCGACGATTATATTCTGTAGATGTCGATTACTAATCACCCCGTGCTTCAATGGCCAGACAGCTACTAAGGTGATGTACATTCTGGAAAGCTCGCTACACTGTGACGTCACGGCACTGCGACGTAAAAATTCTCGATTATCTGAGCACTTTAGGCTATTCTATTAGCTATTATTTTTAACTGAATGTGTAAATTTTTCTGTATTCCTCTGGAGGGATGGGAATTTTTTTTATTATTTTTTTCCAAAATACAGTCAATACATCGTAATCGTTTTCATAGTTGATGTTATTGAGTGTTGGCTTTTTCTTTTTTTATTATTGGTATTTCAATTATCTTTAGCCTTTTTTACATGCGGCTGAAGTTGTTATATTTGTATTTTCAACCAGTATGCTGCGGATGGAGTTTGGTAGGTGTCTGTGTGTGTTTAAATGGGTCCTAATTGAGCTATGGTCAGAGTGATATAGGCATGATAAGTCTAATGTAATTATATATAATTTAGTATGATCAGGAAAGCAATTCCAAAAAGGACATGTGAATTATTAAATTCTGTAATTTGGATCTTGCAGGTGAATTGTTGTTGTTGACTATAAGTTTATCTGTTTTTTTTATTGTAGATAATTAATTAATTTTCTTGTTCTGGTTGACAGGGATTGTATATTTCTTTATAATGCTTCTAAGGGAAATTCTATCTTGCTTAACGTGTATTTGATTTTTATAGAAAATGTTAACGTTATTAGCCTAAACAAAGTAGGCCGGTAGACGTAAACAAATAAATATACTGTTTAATAAATAAATGAAAACAGAACATCTACTCATATATGAGTATACATTTAAATTAATAACGTTTAGACAAATAAATTAAAAATATGTTGGATTTAATGCATTACTTAAAACTTGCATTTGTTTACGTTAGTATACGAAACAGAGTAGATATGTATATTACGAAAATCAGTAAGATATGTGTTCAAAAGCATTATTTGGGCCTTGCTTGATCAGGAGATCCTACTTAAACGAGCAGTCTAATGCACATCAGATTTAATGACGCTTTCCTCTATGGGACGCAGGTTCGAACTTGCTGGATGGCGCATATTTTTCTAATATTCAAGCCAGTATATGTAAATAAATATACCGTTTAATAAATAAATAAATAAATACGGAGAATCTACTCAAATATGAGTATCCATTTAAAATAACGTTTAAACAAATTAATATATATATATATATATATATATATATATATATATATATATATATATATATATATATATATATATACAAAGAAATAATCACATAGAAAATCAATAAGCAGTATTAATGCTATTATTGGCTGATTGATTCTATGCGTGATTATTTTGTATATAAAATATATACTGCCTATATATATATATATATATATATATATATAATCTCAATATCCCAATCAGTTTCTGCATCTTTCTATTATATGAGAGTAGTTCGAGCGGAGTACGCATACAAACGAGAGGAATTCGAAAAGATAGAATAATAATAATTATCACTCTTAGGCCGTTAGACAAAAACGATGCATAAGAAAAATGCTAAAAATTGGAATTTTCGGGCACTGTAACGATTCTCAACAAAAAATAAAATGAAGAAATTTTTGGGGGAAAAAGGTTCGTTTTTACTTATGTGTAGATTTATTTATTTATTTTGCATTAAGGGCCCCTGAATATTAGTTGATGGGTAAACCTTGGATAGAGGATACAGGATTATTTCAATTCGTCTATATTGTTTTTAACCTATCTTGCAGATATAACATTTCTTTTATGATTACTCGGCCCGACTTCTCTGGTGGGTGTAGGATTTTCGTATTCATTAATGTGTTTGAATGCGTGTGTGATAGTATCCATGTCTCTGTGAGTGATTTATTTTACTGATTAAATTTAGTACATTTTTAGTTTTCTGCCATGATTAAAGTTGTGGGCATTCGGTGATGGCTTTTTTGTAGAGTTGCTGACTAATAACTAAAGTTCTATTTAAATCTAAAATATGGAAATTCATTTAAAAATTGAATTTCAACGACACAAAAAGGATGCATCAAACGTTATCAATACACTATGGTTGTCCGCTTGGTTGAAATTTGTGCAGCGAGAGTGAAATTGATGTCATCTCTGGTAGTTTTCTTGTGGTTATTAAACCTAAGAAATCCTTTACCAGTTTCACCGATATAATTCCCTGTACTGCATTTGCTGTCAAAAATGAATTATATTATAATTGAACTGTCACAAGTTAAAGGCAGAATTTCAGATTGTTGTGTGTATGCCAAGTGGGGGTAAAAATACTGCTTTACAATAGGTACCTCCACGAAAATGCTAAAAATGCAGCATATTGTAATGTAAATATGCTTCAAACGTAACGTAATGAAAACAATTTTATCGTCAAAATCTGTGTTATTATTAAAAGGAAGGATAATAGTATTTTTTGATTATTTAATTACATTTTTTACTCCTTTTTAGAACATTCGAAAATTTGATTAAAAAATATATTTTTCTTGCGTCAGCGGTTGTAGTAACTTTTAGCATAGCAAATTTTGACCTCTTTCTGACACACACATTAATTTGGAAATTCTTGCAAAAGTTAAATAATTATCAAATTTTAATGCAATTTTCAGGACTTATTCATAAATGAATGAAATTATTTTTTG